TTGAATTAATAAGAATACTTACGTTGGTGCACAAAGTATTTTAAATAGACTCTTTGAAAACTATTCTTTTAAGTAACAGAAAACTTTAATTTTAATAATGGTCATACATGTTCAGGAAGTTCTGGCAATTGGCCACTTTGAAAAGTTTGAGGGTGGAAACAATAATGTGTTAATTCTATGTTTTTAAAAAGCTTATAGAGGTACTTATAGCATATCTCCTTTATGTTCTTAATGTCCTTCTCCTTAATTTAAAACTCTGGGTGTACTGAATCTTTTTTTATTGAAGTATGATATACACATAAGTGGACACATCACAAATGTGCAACTTGAATTTTCTGATGAATTTTGCTCAGTATTCCATATTCACAAGTGAGGAGCATTAGTACATGAATCTTATGTCATGTGATTTATTGTAGTATATGTATTTAATATATTGCCCTTCAAAATTCTAAAGGGAAAAAAGTCACCAGAGATCTGGAGTACATTTCTTTACTGCCTTCCCCCTAATTATGTACTCTTTCTCTCCTTGCCTGATAAGTGTGATGTCCTTGTGTTTTTCATAGGATCAGAGTGACAGTTGATGGCGAATTTCCTGCATTATATTTCCCATTTCAGTTCCTGGATTCTCCTGAGTGGGATTCACTGAGACCCACAGAGGAAGGCATTTTTCAGGTAAGGGATGACCCAACAACACAATGTCCCTTGACCAAGCAGACAAATAATATGTTTTTAAATAAGTAAGAAGCCCAAATTAAACAGTAGGTACCCAAGAAACAATTTATAGTTAACTTTGGGATATATTTCACAGCGCATGTGTGTCCCAATTCTAGTTGAGTGTTGTTGACTAATGTCACTCACTTTATAGGTCCAGCAACAAAGAGAATGGGTATTACGTATGTCAGGAAGGAGTGAGTCTCTGATACATATGCAAGATTTCCTTTGTGAAACCTCATATTTGGTGATTAAAATGTAATTAATTGAGATTTCCATATAGACTAACACTACCAATGTGATAGTTTAGAAAACACCAAGAACAAAAAACTGTTTGTTACAAAATAAATGATTTTTTAAATTTAAAATGCTGATGGATTTCAGTATTTTCTAGTAATGTCACTTCTGTGCTGTCACATCTGGTAGCTTTGAAAGACTCATTTCAGTAGGTTTTATTTATTACATTATATATTTTCATATGAATTAATACATACAGTATGCATGTGTATGCAAATATAGTCATATGCATATGCAAAACAGGTAAATTCTAGGGTTAAATGCCCACAGTCTTTGTAACTGACTTGGATATACATACTTGTATTGCATGAGCCAACCTTATTTTTTGCTTTTAGTATCAAGTAGCTTTGCCTTTAGTAAAATGTGAAACATAAATACCCAAACTTAGAAAAACCAGTAAGCTGGAGATAGGTACAGCATTATAATTATCTGTATTATAAATTACATAAGTAGGAACAAATTATGTAGCTTTTAGATTTTTACAATATATTGTAGGTGAGCTGAATATTTTTAACCTAAAAAAGAAGTAAGTGAAATTCATTTAAAATTTGGGACAGAAAGCCAGGCACTGGTGTCTCATGCCTATAATCCTAGCTACTCAGGAGGCAGAGATCAGAAGGATCTGGTTTGAAGCTAGTCCAGGCAAATAGTTCGCTAGACCCCATCTCGAAAAATCCCATCACAAAAAAGGGCTAATGGAGTGGCTTAAAGTGTAGGTCCTGAGTTCAAGCCCCAGTACCACAAAAAACAAACAAAACAAAATTTGGGACAGAAAAAATGTGACTGAATTTCTTCCTTGCTAATCTCCATTTATATGTGGTGTTGTGTTTTTTAGGTAACACTCACAGCAGAAACTGACTGTCGATATGTTTCTTGGAGGAGAAAGAAACTATATTTGCTTTTGCTCAGCATCGTTATATCTCTCGCCTGTTTTCAGTTTTAATTGGCAGTGACATTGCAGATAAACTCTACGCCTTGAATGACAGGATATATATAGGAAAAAGGTATCACTATGATATTCGGTTACCCAACTACTATCATATGTCAAGTCCAGAAATGCCCAGAGCACCCCTGACAGGACAGTTTCGGAATTCCAGGCAATATTGTAATAAATGACATCAAAATATGAAGTTTTATAACTATCAAAAAAAAATCTCTTCGTCATTCCCCAAATGAAGTAGCAAAGTACATAAAATTGAGCTCACTAATATTTTTATAACAAATTCAGAGACAAGATGCCATTACCAGCTGTTTTGTCTCAACTTCTTTGTTGCAAATAAATTTTACAAAGTTTTCTTGTGTTTTTTATTGTTCTGATTGGGGGAGGAGGATGAAGAATGATGGACAGTTTGCCCTTTTTCTGCATCAGAACTATGAGAATGTAATTTTCCATTCTCAGATTTTCTCGAATGTATTGTCTTGCCCTGTTGATTTAGGCTTTGCTTCTTAGGAAGTAGCCAGCTAGTGTTCTCAGCAGGAGAGCCGTTGCTACTGTTCACACAAGCGTTTCCAGAATTTGCTTTTTTGCTATACCCTTTGATGAAAGCAAGATGCATTATTGTTGTGGGAAGCAATTATTTATTTTACATGCAAAGTCATTTGATATGACTAAATAGTAGAATAAATGTAAGAAATAATAAATAAGCCAATCTTAAGGACTGTTTTCTTGCTACAAATAAGTCCTAAGCTTATTCTTTATAATACCATTCTAAAAGAGGCATTTCATAGAAAACAAAACTGCATAGTAATTACTGAGCAAAAAAGGAGGTCTATAACAAATAGTAAAAATGTTGCACAGCATTTCAATTTCATAGGCTGAGCTGTTTGACTGGATAAGGAAGGCCTCACAGTGAATACTCAGGCCACTACACACACACACACACACACAAACACACAAGTCTGCTTGACACCACTCCTGCAACCTTGTGAAGAAGAGTTTAAAAACAGATCCTTAGTTGCAGATCTAATCCTTAGCTTGAGAGAAATTGGTTGTCTGAAGATCACATATAGGCCATGTTTCTTGGTAGAAAGATACATTATACATTTAACAAATGGGTACTGAGCCCCTTCTGTGGCTCTGGGTGCTGAATGGGCACTGACAAATAACTGGACTCCATCCCTCATGGAGCTTAAATTCTGGAGTGAGGGAGAAGATATTAAAATAAATCAGAAAAACAAACAATTACAAAGTTGTAGTGCCACAGAGAAAGATAAATCAGAGAAAGTGGGTAGGAAAGGGCCCTGCAATTGTAATAGGGTGGTCAGGGACAGTCTCAGCAGGAAGGTAATGTTTGAATGAAGACCTGAAAGAGGCAGAGGGACATTCTATATCTGGGCAAAGGGGACAGCATGTGAGAAGAGTAGTGGAAAGGCCAGGAGCAGAATGAGTTCGAAGGGAAGAGGGGGGTGGTGGGCAACTGTGGGCAGACAGGGTGGGACTTAATAAGTCATGGTAGGGACTTTGACTTTTATAAGTGGCCAGAAGCCATTATAGAATTTGAAGTAGAAGAGTGATGGGATCTGCCCTATGTATTTATTTATTTATTTGGTGGTATTCAGGGATTTGCTTTTGCAAGGCAAGAGCTCTAATGCCTATGTTTTAATAGGATCAGTGGGTAGCCTACTGAGAACAGACTATGTGGCAGTGAGGACCATAGTGGACTTAGAAAAAAAGTTAAGGGGCCAGATGCCCACTGAACATTGAAGTATGTAGCTGAATATGAGTCTGTTCAAGAGAAAGGTCTGGGTTGGATACAGCTTTGGGATAGTCAGAATATAGATGGTATGTGAAGCCATCAGCCTAGGTGAGATGGCCAAGGAAATGAGTATACATTCAAGTTGAAATGGCTCAAGAACCTTACCTCCATTGTTAAGAGGACAGGGAAGTGGGGAAGTCAGTAGAGAGGAGAAGGAGCAGCCAGTGAGGTAGAAGAACATCAGGAGAGTGTGGGGTCCCAGAAGACAAGTGAAGAAAGTGTTTCAAGGAGAAGGAAGTGATGAACTGTCTCAAATGTGGGTGAGAGGTTGCATGGTATGAGATCTGAGAATAAACCATTGGGTTGAGCAACATGGAAATTATTGGTGAACTTAACACCCCAGCTTTTGTAGAGTGATTAGGAACAAAAACTTGACCAAAACAGGCCTAAGAAGAACAGGAGGCAAGATGTTGGAAGGGCAGGTTTTTTTTTTAAGCAGTTCTAGTGTAAAGGTAAATAGAAATGGACAGTAGTCTGAGCAAAGAAGTGGAGTTGAAAGAGAGGTGGCATTACTGTTTATTTAAGATAGGAGAAATAATGGCACATTTGTATGCAGACAGGCATGATCCAGAGTGATAAGTGACTTTATGGAGATGACCTTGAACAAGTGAATGATAATGGGATTCAGTGTTCTTAAACAGGTCCATGAACAATTCATCATGGGTAAGGAAAGGAGACTGAGTAGAAGAGAGTCTGGTTGCTGCAAGGGGAGTTTGGAGCAAGCTTGTGAAAGTTCTGTAGTTGTTCTTTCTGTTTTCTCAGTGATCGAGGTAGCAAAGCAGCAAGGAGCACAGGGGAGAGGGATAGTGATTATAAGTAAAGCATATTACTTTTTCTGTATGCTACCATCTGCCATAGTGGGACTGTGTGACAAGGTTTGAGTCATTAGTCTCGATGAGCTACTGAACTACAAGATCAGCTTGAACTAAGGGAGCAGCTGGGATGGTTTCCTTTGTCTTGCTGTACATAGTCATCATGGGTAGCTCTACATGCACAGTGGCAGAGATCTGTCAGCGCAGTCAAGTCCTTCAGGTAGCACCCAGTGGCTTGTTAGTGGGCTTCATAGTGGCTCTGGGAGAAACTTGGTTCTTTGTGTCTTTAAGATTTTGTGGTGTTAAGTATTAAAATGAAGAGCATCCCACCTTACATTAATACCAGGTAATAATTTAACACCTTAAATCAGAACCAGGTAATATTTTAACAGGGATTAATTATCGGATCCTTTTCTAATTATAAAAGTTAACTGAGAATAAAGCCACACAGAAATGGGGTGTAGATTTTTCACTCAGATCATAAGGTAGAGGGAGAATGAGAAAATTTTATATTAGGAGTTTTGCAGAAATCTATTTTTAGTATGGAGAGGAAGAGATACAAACATAGTGGGATAAACGGTGCTGAAAAGAGGGGTAACGGAATACACTGAACTTCAGTCTTCACTTTCATGCAGGGCTGGCCCCGTCCCTCAATACTAGCAGATATGTGATAACCCAACACCTTGTTTTGTACCCAGGATTTCGCTCTTGAACAAGTAACGTGAAAAACCCCTCAGTGACCTCATTATAACTATACTGTATGTCTGGCTTGAAATGACTCGCAGACCACATCTTCCTGTCTCAAAACACTATTCAACCCATATGTAAGATAGAAATGACAGATATCCTAAAAAAGTACCTCAAAGTGCAATTCCATGGTGTACTGCAAATTTAATTTCTATTAAAAATTAGGCTTATTTTAGCCTCAGCTTAATTGTTTCCACTCTTAAATTCCTTTTATCATTGGTAAAAGTACAGTAAAATGAGGAACAGGGTTATGTTCCTATGTTTAAAGTGCTTTATAAAAAGATCTGTATATTCATAAATAAATGGAATGCCTTGCTCAATTGTATTAAAATTTCAAAATAACAGAGCATTAAAACAAGCTGGGGCTCTTGTAAGCCACCACCCATTGTGATCACCCAGATCACATTCCCAGAAGGCTGGCCCTGGCCAAGAGTTGCCCCAGTGACTACAGAATTGGAGTGACTGTTTAGTGATTTTCTGTCGTCAATTTTGTGATCAGAAAGGACTCTGAAGAGTAGTGAGGAGGAAAAGAACTAGATTTGACATAAAATGAGCCCCTAAATACCCGCACCTCAGTCACCAAGCTCCCCGAGTTTGTGGCCCCTCTTGCAGGCCTTTATTTCATCTGGATATTTGGAGGCTTCCTGTGCCCTTGGAGCTATATTCTCTTGAACCTGATTGACCTCTGTGTGCAGTTACAAGAAAGGACTATGTGATTTGCCCTGGAGTACACACCAGGGCATTAATCTCATGCTCTTAAGTCTAATCTACTGTAAAGAACAGCATGAAGTCCTCCAGCACGTGTGGACTGAGGAGTTCTCTCTCCTCTTGAACAGAGGAGCAAAAGGAAATTCATTTGCTCTCTACTCATCTGGATAAACCCTGGATGTCATATTGTTACATTGTACAGACCCAGAAGGACAGAACTGATTTGACAGAGCAGTTACAAAGTGAAATCTCCTGACTAAGCTGAAAAAAGCCATAAGAAAAACAAACTAAGCAGACATGACTTATTATAAAAGCTATATGTATGATGTGCACGAGATGCCTCATTTGACTAAGGCCATAAATCTGTATGTACCACTGCATGGCACTTTCTTACTGAGTTCCATGTTCCTCTATATTGTGAATTGCTTGAAAAAATTAACCTTCAGAAACGATGTTCTTCATTAATATTATTTTATAAAAGTTTTATGCATAAAGAGATCAATGAGCCCAATTCCACTATTTTTTTAATTCTACTAAAATTTAATACATATGCCAAAAATATAAGTATTAGTATCATAAGCCTATTATAATAAAATACAGACTTAATTTGATAGAACTATATATTACTTCAAGACCAGAAATCTTAGTTTCATGAAAGCAGCAAGATTGAAACATTACGTTAGTTTTTAGTCATCTCACGAAGAATATTACCATGATTCCAGTGACAAACATACATTTGCATATAATATCAGCATGATTTGAACATAATTTGATGTTATATTATTATGCAAAATTTGCTTGGTTTTAAAACCTGCTAGCTATTAAAGATTGATAGGGAACTTAAACATTTTTGCCCTTAAGAACTGATTTGTGCCTTGAACTGTAATTTCTCCCTTTAATCTTTTATTTCAATCAAAACTTTGGTGACCTTAATAAGTATAATTTTATTACATTTACAGGACTTCAAAATATTTGTTTTTTGCATACTTTTTAAGCAAGATTTTAGCTCCACGTGATATAGCACCAGATGTTTTCCATTTTCAAAAACTGAGATTACTACTCATTAAATGTAACAGTATTTGTCCAATTATATTATAAAACAATGTTTTACATGTATTTAGTACTTTATAGTTTACAAAGTGCATGTTGTACATGTGATTTAATTTTCTTGTTTCTTGAAAGAATCCCATTTTTATGGATGAAGAACAGAGAGGCTGAATCACAGTAAATGGTGAAGAACTACAAGCGTAGTTTCTTCAAATCAGTGTTCT